ACAGCTCAAGATGCGTTATTATATGTTGCTATTTGTTGTGGGAAAATGAAAGGGCTTTGACAGAAAATTCCTCTCTAAATCTTCACAAGCTGGGGATAGGATTCAGGGGAGGGAGGGTGAAGCGAGGTCAGGCACTTAACCTCAGCATGAGGCGGTAAAGGAATGGACTTCATACCTTTACAAATGAAAAGGCTAGTAGTGTCATAATTCATGATTAATGAAAGGTTAGAGAAGCGGTCATTTATCTGACCCTGTAATCGCAACGTGGGTTCAACACGGGAGTCAAAACGAGACATCTCAAAGGAGTGATTAAATATTTTAAAAAGGTCAGTAGATGATGGCAGTGATCTGAACATTTATAACCTTTGCTTTGAGGGTCAACAAGCCCAAAAAGTTGGCAACCCTTGCTTTGATGCATTTCACCTCTTTACTGTCGCTGTCAAATGTATTCAAATATTGCCAGAAAGGATACAACAAAGGAAAGAAAAGATCATGGTCCGGGTAAAAATATGCAAGTTATACCCAAGTACTTGATTTAAAATAAGTCCACATAGATGTTTTGTTATAAACGGGAGACGAACAGTGGTCTCCTTGGTTAAAGCCCCATGTTTGGCCCAACGACCCATCAACATATCCACCCCAACCTCTTGATTGTCATTAAAAAATGTTATTCAAAATTATTTCTACTAAAAATGGGAATTTGTTCTATAATATTTTACCGCCACAACGTAATGCGGTGTTAAGATGTCGTATCCATTTCACGTCTCTTCTCAGCTTGAGAATGGATAACTTAACTGGCTGTGAAATGCATGAGGGACGTATTGCAGTTATCCTATCATCCTCATTTGTGACTCCTCTCTGTAAGAAGACCTCTACCTTGTCAATGTATCTTTGGGTCTGCGCTGAAGAGACTGTGTAAGCTATGCCCCGCTTCGCATTCCTCTGCCATCCAACCTCTGTCCAGCCTGGACTTTCCCACAGAACCCTAAACCCTGTGAATGAGAGTAGGCCTTTGTTTCAGGCATTTTTCATCCTGATCCCAGCAACTTCCCCATGGTGGAATGCAACAGGAATGCCAGAGCCAGCTACCTGGCATTAGAGAGTCTTTGTGCGGAAATAGGAGAGGCTGAAGGAGAGAGCAGGTCAAAGAGGTTTGACAATGGATAGCTCACTTCTCAAGGTGCCCAGCCCACATTACAGAGCGAGTGAACAGCACAACCCGGGTCAAGTCTCCTGAACATGGCAAGGTGCACCAAGGAGAAAATAATAAATGGCATTGTTTGTAACCGGGCCAGTTTCGCTATGAGATCTCCTCCTGTCAGTTTTTTTCTCCTGGTGTACAAATCATTAACTGGAGCGCTGATGTAGCAACTGATTGGCATGCATGCACAAGCACAGCTGAAATGTGTGTCGGCAGCAGTTAACAGGTTGTTATGAGCTTATCACTAGCTCAGAGCTGGAACGGTGAGGCAGCGGTTCGCCTCAAGGTGCAATTCCATTCATTCTTGGTTGGTGAGAGACCAGAGGAGGAGTATTTTTAATTTGTGGGATGCCATGCTAGATGAGGATTTATTATGATAATATCTGGTGAGGTTTCACGTGTCACAACAAGAGTTATTTTAAGTGACATTCAATTGAGGCTTCACATGCATAAGCAAAAATTCAGCCTGGTCTTCTAAAATTAGGTTCCCATACATTGAAACTCAAGATTCAAGATTCAAAGGTTTTATTGTCATATGCAGAAAGCTACAGTGTAGAAATGGCAATGCAATTCTTCTGACCTGAGCTCTTCCAACAATGCAACATATATAATAAAATACCAAAATACTAAATAAAAAGTAGTGCAAAAAGTCTATACACATGTAAACAGAATATGATATGTACAAGAACCGAATATGAAATTAAATAATGTAAATTAAGACAAAATGAAATACGGAAACTGCATTGTTAATTACGATAGAAACCTTTATGCAGGATAATGTTGGTTTTTGACATGTCACAACGTTTCCAATCAAGGTAATCGGAGCTACAATATGGAAGAGGTTGAGGTGTGAAAAGATTAAACAAACTCAGGAGCCGAATTCTCCTCCTGTGGTATCCAGTGGAGGGGCTAACACTGTGGAGCTGCACAAACATGGTGGCGTACATGTCAGAGCAGGAGCTTTGTGTGACAGACAGTTACCTGGGCCCGTCAGCAAAGCCATTTCCCCTGAAATCTGAGAAGCCCGGCTTCTGAGACGGCGGCTGATCTTCTCTGGATCCTGAGTCTGATGATAAGGAGCTGAGATAAGGTGCTAACTGAAGGGCAACGACAGGGCTATGGAGACAAGGGTGGGGCATCAGGTCATATATCCCTGCATGTCATGACCACAATTATCAGGGGGCCTCCGCTCACCTCCTGTGAGAACCAACATCTGTAACATGCCGCCTTGTATGGAAGTATACTTCATGATAAACCTGGAAACATTGACTGAATATGTATTATTAGCCACTAGTCTTTTGAGTTAACCAACATCTGAGACATTGGGTACCGTACAAACCAAACCGGACTACATTTCATCCATGCTGTTTTATTTCTGTTCCCCTATAGCAGTTTGACTGTTCGACATCCCTTCTTCCTAGAAAACTCAGCAGATGTTATATTTATTACTCTCAGACTGCCAAGATTCTCTGGGAGGACAACTGAACATGTGAAGAGAGGAAAACTCTGTGTTGACCAGACTCCCCTTCTCCCGACAGAGAGGACATTTTATGAACTCACTGGGGTACGATAAGGCTTCGTTCCTCGATATGACCACTCGTACTACAAATTCCAGTGAAATCAGCACAGTATAGCCACATACAGTACCAATGCCAAGGGAAGCCATTTTTAAATTAGAGGTGAGTGTCACAAATCAATGAGGACAAACATTCCAACATGGCTGTAATTTGGAATTTTGTTAAAGGATTTTCTTTTGATGAAGAAATATGTGGATACATGTTCAAAGCCTATGCTCCTTTATCTGATTTACCACTTTTTTTTAATGAAATTAAATATCTAAGTCATGCAAAAGACATTTGCCTTCATTTCTTGTTTTATATTTACAAAAGCAGACTTCACCATGGTCACAGGCCTGGACTTTGAACACGGAAAGAGCACAAGAGAATCATTTCCTACATTTGAAAGCTTATTATGTAACTAAAGGATCGCTGTGTGAGCTTGCCTCCCCTGAAGCATCCAGAACGTTGCTGTTGAAAAGATCATACCGGATTAAAGCAGACAAGAGGCGTTCAGAAAGGGTCTGGGTTTGGACACATGGAGGGAACATCTTACAGTCAGCATTTCTGCAGTATGCAAATAAAACAGGCAAAAACAGCCACCATTCACAAACTCCGTCCTGAGAAGAAAAAGGGAACTGCGTGGAGACGTGCATGAATGACTTCCTTTTTGAGGCTTTAACAATAAAACCAGAAGATGAGAACGGTAAACTATGAATTAAACAAACAGCCTTGACTCTTCCCTTATTGCCTAAATGCAGTAACCTGTTTAATCTTATCCTCATACTACCAGCGCAGAATCACAAGTTGAAAATAATTTGATAGTCACTGTTGGTAAGAGTTTAAACAACTACAAACTCTTCACAGCTTGGAAGTTATAAATGCAGTTTGAATGATTGAAAGCCATTTTGTCCCCATTAAGATATCAATGTCAAGCTGAAGGTGGGTGACTTAGACATTTGACCTAAAGAAACGTTTATTTTTTTAGGAAAGTGAGGATATTAGGTTTTTATACAGTATGTATTCCTGATACACCTTGAATATTACCATATTTAAATAATATAACACCATGTTGCTCTGTGAGGCTGTACTTAGACACTGTGGGGCTTCGAGCTGAACGCTAATGCTAACATATTCACAATCTTAGCTAACTGGCTAACATAATTAGGCCTAGATAAGTAGAGCTGAAGTTTAGGTATCAAAACAGTCCAAATTCACTTTGCCTTTGTATGACTAAACAGCATGAGGGCTTTTCAAGTGACATGAAATTAGATTATTGATGATTGTTATCAAATAAACAGTCATTCTTGCTGGCTACATAATAAGTCAGACACAGGCATTTATCTGTGTCTGTGAAATCCACCACCCACAAAAAAGGGAAACTTTAAGAGTAGTTCTCAAATTCCATTTTCTCCTCGATGCATCACAGTGGTGTCCTCACCTAGTAACTGGTAAACACACATCAACAATGATGAAAAAGCATTAATGAACCTCAATATGTTCTCCAAAAGAAAACAGTTTAAGTGTTGCCACACTGCAATGCCTGAGGAGAATCATTATGGCCTACGTTTCTATCTGCCTCCGTTTACTGATTTATCGAGTCAATCACTATCATTGCTGGCAAGATGTTTTGCCAAAGAAATACAACATAAGGTGTCCTTGGCTAACACCTGATCAAGATAAAGAGCGAAAGCTAAATTGCAGAGATTATGATCTGCTATAAAGTGTCTGAGTAACCGCATCCAGGGGCCAGAGCTCAACCTCAAACAATGAAGACAAAGACCTCAGACATGTGACACGTGCATGGAAAGAAACAAAGATGTCCAGACGTTAACTCAGACTTTATCCGTGTGGCCCTGGGCCATGCTGCCTGTGTCATGCTGTCATATTGTTAGCTTGATTTTGTGGTCAATGTCAGGGTGTTGCCCAACAGGTGTTCGTCTAACACCTACGTGACACATGGTATATACGTTATGAATTATTAATTAAAACCCTGCAAGAGAAGAATCACTTTTATTGTGTTGTTGTCGCTTAGTTTCTTCTAGAATTACTTTTCAAAATCAGTCTGGACAATAGAGGTGCATAAACCAAATGTGCCTTTAGTACTAAGACCTAATCTAAAAGGGTGGTGTTTAATAACTAATCCACATTATATAGAGACAAATATTGTACTTTTTACTCCACTAGATGTGCATATTCAGATAGTTGGCAGATTTATATAATCCAGTACATGTATTCTATAGTTGAAATCAATTTTTTTTTATTACATACACTTCCACCAGTACCTATAACATCACTATGCTGCTAACACATTAGCAATGACAATCCCACATAGGTGAACTCAGCTGAAAGTACACAAGTATTATCAGCAAAATGCACAAAAAGCAGACTCAACATGCACAATGGCTCCTTCCTTATATTATCATAATGTGTTATCTACCTGGCAATATGTCTGCCATATGATGCTAAGCAGGACATCTTTCATTGGATACATTTTCTGCAATCTAAACAACAGTAGGATCACCAAAAGAAATACATTGATTATATCAGCTTTTATTAAATGATCTGAGCCTGTCGTCTAGATAATTGAAATGCTTTTTATTGTAAATACATCCACATTCCAATACTTCTCAATATGTGTCAACAAGTATTCCATTGTCAGCTTCCCATTCAAGCAAAGTCAGATAAAACAATCTTAATGTGACACTGACTCAATCAAGACACATAATTTAAACCTCTAGCCCTGGTCTTTTAATGTGGGAATAAGATGCCCCCTATATAGAAAGCGGTGCCACACAGCAGCGAGATGACTAAGCATGAGGCCTGCTGCCTGTGGCACTGTGGAGACATGTTCCATTCTGTCAAAGCTCCACAGCACATAGGCACCATTTCACACGGTCCCCCGACTCTTGGCGAAATGAGTGGGAACTTTAGAGGCTCTGCTGAAAGCCTATACAGAGCATTTTAGCACTGATGTAATTGCAGTTTTAACCCATTTTTTAACTGCAAGACACATTCAGAACAGGCATTATTAAATTGCATTAAAATGCATTCATTTTGAGCCCAGGTAGTGATAGAAGTGCTGATGTTGATGCATCAATAAGATAATTTAATTGAGTCATCAAATCCACTTTTGTATAAGAAGTTATAGACCCTACAAGTAGTGAGAAAATGAAAGTTCAAAATGAGATTCTGAAGGAGATTTAATATTGTTGTTTTTGGCAGTCCCAACGAGAAAAAGAAATGACTTCACTGTGCTTAATGGGTGACTCATATATCATACAGCAGTGTCAGGAAAATGAACACTGACTCCAATAGCAGGTATTTCCCCCATAACAGTGAATATCTAAGCTAAGCATTTTTTCAAACCAACCCTCCCCATATCATAGAGTGTGTTTACAGTGTGTGTGGTCTCGGGATGGAAAACCCCATCAGTGTGTTGAGTCTTCAACTCCACCTGCTGGTGTTCAGCACAAATTACTGTCAGAATGTATTATCTCAGAATAAACCTGTTGAGATATTGATGACAAAGAACATATGATTACAGGTAACCCTTATCCAATCATAAGAAAACCATAAAAGCTTTTTTACCAACTTCTTTAAATACAAAGACTCCTTTGATGAAGTACAGTCTAAATTAGCAAGAAAAAGCATTACATATTAATCAATTCACCATTTACAATAACATCTAAAAAGTCCCATAAATTAAATAAAGCAAATGAGCATATGTATTCTATATATTTCCTATAGTATCCATTTTGATCCAATATTGCACCATGAACCCAGGTCAAATTCATCCACGTCAATCCACTCAGCCGCAGAGTTGTGGTTGTTGTACCACTTCTTTTGAACCTCTTCTGTACATTAACATGTAGGCTGTGCCTCTGTAAAAATAACAGCATTAAACATTTGAACACAGAAATGTAGAAATCAAAGTTATGCTCCTACAAGTTAGGGAAGTAAAGGGATAAAATTACCAAATTACAGTACACTTAAAGAGAATTAGAAGTAAAAATATAACTACAGTGTTGGACAAAAAGCTTTTGAAGACAATATGACAGACAAGACAGATTTCCTCTGTTTGTGGGTTCAAAAGTCTGAAAGCCCCCATCGCAATAAACAAGACCACCTTTAGTGTTTGATTTTCACCGAGGAACAGACAAGGCTTTGTCTTAAGATCAAAAGAGATTTCCGCAAGTAGGAAGATAAAAGCTGCATGATGGAAGTGGGATTCAAGCAAGGCTTTAAATGTTATTTATAAAAATCCGAAACTCTGAAAACAACTGGAGGTTGGTTTAAGCAAGCTTAAATGGGGGTCACATGTTGTTTTGTTGCCATGCCATGTTTGCCATTGTTTACTGTAATCTAAATGTTTTGAAGGTGAGAGACCATTTTCAAGACGAGGCTGAACACAGGGGACCGGAGTTGTTATTAAAAAATGTATTAATCTAAGTATTAATAGCTCTTTTGATCAAGCTAAGAAATGAATTTCAGAGCACGCCTTTCTGGCCAAATGTAACCATAAGGGGTATCACCCCCCAATTGTTGTGACCAAATAGCAGTATGCAGTTGTAAAACAACAGGTGATCTAGAACAGAGCCCTGGGGCACTTCTTGGCAATGTTAAGTTATGTCTTTATTCTTAGCTACAATTACCCATTGTTGCTAAAAAATAAAGACATAAAGACAGAGCCAGGGTAGCTGTTTAATGACATGCTATGCTTACTAGTTTCAGCCTCACGTTAAGCATATATACTGTATATAATAGTGGTATCACTCTATTGCCAAGGAAGCAATTCCCAAAATGTTAAATTATTCCCTGACTCCCTCACCCCTAATGCAATATCAAAGGTTATCAAACCTGAAAAAATGTATATTGAGGAGGTTACCTGCTGTGATTTCCCCCATAGGATCTCTGCACTTCTTCCCAGGAGGCCTATGTGTTTGAATACAAAACAAATGAATGCATACAACTGAATTATAGTGATACAAAATGTCCTTTTCAATTTCATTTTCATTTTTTTACGTAAGGTATCATTATTATTGTGCTAAACATCTCAGGGCTTTGAAACAAGGGTATACAGGGGAGCCTTTGTGTCTAATGATATTTTTTTTAAAAGGGGTCCTTCAACAAGTGCAAGCTGAAATAAGTTGCATTCAAGTGAGACAGATTTATTCAGATTGAACGTACCTGATGTACGTGGCTGTCATCTGCATAGTACCAGCGCTGGCTCCTCCTTTCGCGAACGTAGGCAGTATAGTGCCCAAACGATGCATATCCAGAGTGCACTACCACTGCATGCAGTGTGTACTTGCAGTCATTCTGGAAAAATGTGTACATTTATAAAAGACAAAAGATACAATGTGCAGACTGTATTACTATTATTATTGAAATACCTGGTTAAAGTCTGAGGAGAACGCTTCCTTAACAGTCTCAGAAAAGTCAATGGTTTCTGGAAAGGTAATCCTGCAGTCAAGTTTTCGGGTGTCACCATTGCTATTCCGAAACCTTTTCAGGTGAACACTCAAGATACAAGGCAGGGAAAGTAGTGTAAGACCCTGAGGAAGAAAAAACAAGTTTCACAGTTTTGTCTTGTAATTACTGGGAAGCATTTAAACCAAGTCTCACCTTTTTAGATGGAGTCTTCTTTTCACATCGTGCACAAAAGCAGCAATCTATGCCCCTTAGCTCCTGATGCTCAAAGAAGGAGGTCATGCAGCCTTCCTGAAAATATTTGTTGAATAAATACTTGTAAGTCCGACTTCACAAAAGTTAACAGCAATTGATTGACAATGAAGCAGCGTTAAGGAAAGTGTAAAGTGTGACAAGTGAGGTTTCTTGACAAAAAAAAAATGCAAGGGCTTTTTTTTCTAGGACACTTTATTAGCAGCTGCTCCTAAAGCCTCCCTAAAAGCTTTTAAATAAAGACTGGGAACAACCAGGAAAAAAGTCTGTGATTTTTCCTAGACTAAGTTAAACCATCAAGTGTTGTTTGGATTAAACAACCGAAACATCGTTTTTTCTATTATTTCGCTTTAGAGGAAGTTTGAATTTTGTTTGCACAGAGCCAAGCTAATTGTCTCCTTTAGGTTCCAGTCTTCATGCTAAGATAATCGATGTTCCCATCTAGCTGCAGGCAAAACAGCCTTTAACTATATCTTCCAATATGTTGAAGTATTCATCCAAGTCTAAAGAAAAGACAAAGTTCACCAGAGAGTCGTGATCTTCCTTGACATGCAGCGGCAGGCTGAGCAGGTAGGTGTTCAGGGTCTGGACGGAGGAACAATCTATACACTGCAAGCATGTCTCAACAGATATCTTGTACAGATTCTGGATTTCAAGAGCCTGGCAGAAAAAACAAATACAAACACAATATAATAAATGGCGCACTTACAGTTGGAAAGATAAGGAATATTCATAATTAAAGACTAACCAGATGTTTGTCGTCCATCTGGTGGTGCAGGAGGTTCAGGATGGAGAGGAACACCTCATCAGCATCATGCTGCGAACCAACTGCAAAACATGTTAAAAGTTACTAAATAAACACCAATCAAGAATCATCTGATAAAGTAGCATCCTTACGTCGAATACGGTTTGAGTTCAGAGAGTGGAGAAAGGCACGATGAGGAGCCTGAGGGGGGGTGTCGCTCTTCATGGCGGAGAGAACTCTCTTCAGCTGCAGGGGGACGTTACAACTCTCCTCTTTCACAGCAGCTGCCTCCCACCTGGTGCAATTCATAAAAACTAATTAATCCTACTTTTGATTACCTGAGAGAAGCAGCCTTGGATCTTAATTGACACCTTGTTGATTGTTAAATCCACCGTCGGCCAATATATCTGTGTGTGTGCCTGCATGTGTCTATGTCTGTCAGCAGTTTATCTTGCATACTACTGCGCCGATCAGCCTAATATTCATTGGGCACATTCATCACTGTATGCTCAAGGACCACCCGGTGATTTACAACTTTGAGAAACGCATTTTGTTTTATACCGTTATAATGTTGACTCCTTACTCCTCTTAAGGAGCCAGTAGAGGCCGCAAGTGATCAACGACTGCTCCAGCAGCAAGAGGCATTTCCTTCAATTGGTAAAGACAAGCTTTACCTGGTACATCAAAGGCCACATTTGTGCCTTTGACGTGGCTCAAAAACTGACATTGATAGTAAAGTTTGGTCTCATTTTTTAACCAAAGCATCTGCAGATTAACGCCATACCCAATATATTACGCAGATGTAAGTACATTGACTCAAGTACTGTACTTAAGTGCATTTTGAGATACTTGTACTCTACTTGAGTATTTCAATGTTATGCTACTTTGTACTTCTACTCCACTACAATTCAGAGGTAAATGGTGTACTTTTAATCCACTATATTTATTTAAAATCTTTAGTTACTTTACAGATGTGGATGAATGATGTGAAATATAATCAAGCGTTAAATCAGACTTTAGTTCCACCTGGAGTAAATCCACAAGCTACCCTGCAGTATACAAAGTAATTCAAACTAGCTGCACCTTTAACAGCTTTGAGAACACTTTAATGATCAATCATTATAAAACATATCATATATATTATTCTGAAATGGACCAATCTGCACAATAACTACTTTTACTGTCGCTACTTTCACTATATTTGATGCTAATAGCTTAGTACTTTTACTTGAGTAAGATTTTGAATGCAGGACTTTTACTTGTAACAGAGTATTACTACACTTTCTACTCTTACTTAAGTACAAGATCTGAGTACTTCTCCCACCTCTGATGCTACGATCTTCTTAAGTCAGGACCATAACGAATCTACAACTTCCTTTCTTACTTGTCGAGTATTTCTCCCAGTTCCCAGGTAGCGTAGAAGGTCTGCAGGAGTGTGTTCACACAGCAGGACAGCTGGTGGTTACTGAGGCCTCTCATTCCTGTGACAGACCATCAGAAACGTCAAAAGAATCCTGTTGCTGAAAAGTTTAACCAAACACATTTTCCAGGGGCCACCTAGGGGCCCATGCCAGCGGGCATTCACAGGTGTGAAAATAATATAAAAACATAAAGATTATGCTTGATGCTCAAAGTAAATATAGAACTCCAGAACACCCACCTCACTTACATTTTGTATTAAAATAAACAAGTATTTTTATAGAAGACAGAGTTACATCTTTTGTTTATTGATTTAAGGCCCTATTTATAGAAGATTTTGCAGGTTTCTCTTTTTAAGTTTATTTTACAGATCCAAGGGGCAGTTTGTTTGTTTCTTTCATTGCTGCACACATGAGGGATGTATTGGTTGTGAAGAGGAACAAAATACAGTAGACTATGATATTTATTTAAGCGATTTTGAGAAAGTTTATCATTATTTTTGCCATTGTAACTTATTGTTTTGAGAAAGTATGTCATCATAATGACTTACACAGGATGACATTTTTAATCACAATGCTTAGTTTTCATTTTATTGCTGGAAATGTATTGCATTACATTCAAAGGTGGTATGACATCTTCCACCATAATGACATACTTACTATGCAAGTATATAATGCATTCAATTCAATGGTTTTAATGTCATATGCACATAACCTAAAGTGTAGAAATGGCAATGAAAGTCTTATCTTACGACCCGAGCTCTTCCAATAATGCAACATAGTTATAAAATAAAATACAACAATAGATACACGTAAATAGAATATGATACAAAGTATATATATATATACAAGAACAATAATGTCAAATTAAATATTGTACAGTAAGATGAAAGGAAATACTGTTTATTACAGTGATAACTATAAAGATTAAAAAAATGTAAGATGACAACAGATAAATCAAATGCTTATGGAGGCACTTAGCTCAGGTTTTAAGCAGGCTAATGTATTTAAGTGTTTTGTTTGGTAACATTTAAATCATCTTTATGACAAATATCACCAGCACACAGCTTTGTTGTTTTCTACTTACCAAAGTAGCTGTCCCTTATACAGCGTGATGAAATAGACCGGTAGAATGTCCAAGACATCAGCAGACCAGTCAGATAACTACCGGAAGTTCTGGAGACAAACCCCACGTCCCCGAGACACGTTTACTTGAGAGAAAAGTTATAAAACCTTCCGTGTATCTTTCAGAATGAGTCTGTTCTGTTCCTCTCCTCTCAGAGTAAACATCACCGTCTGACAGCTTAAGGTTCACTTTCGTTTTTACACTTCTGGGTTCGTCCCTCTGCTGGAATCGAAACTTAGTAGTTGCCACGCGCAGACAATATTATCACAAAACACACGGAAAATTAACATAATTTCATTCATATTTATTATCGTTTTATTAGATTCCCTTTATCTAACATTCCGTTGCCAGTAGTATGTCTTGTTTGTTTTTTGTTTTGTTTTATCTAAAAAGTTTGACATCCTAACTGTAAAGAAAAAACAGTTAATATAAAATCACCAGAATTTGACATATTATAAGCCACAATTTAATCCCTATAATTGAATTATTATAAAGATTGATTAAAAAAATAACTCTCTAAAAATAAACATAAAGTTGAATAATATGCAATTGCCCTTTTTTACGCTAAGAGAATGGCTCATATTAAATGAAAAAATGACATTTGACATTAAAGGTTTATGGATTTCTAATGTCACCCTTTGGTATTTATGTGTAGTGCTTTGCCACATTATTTTAATATTATTAAAAATATTATTTTCCAAGCACATATTGATAAATGTGACTGTTTGCAATACAATCAACATGTAGTACTTATCTTCTGCCACATTACCAACCCTTACAGTCTCTATTAATAATCTGTTGATCACATTTTGTGCTAATGTTCATATGTTAAGCCCCAGTATTTCCCCTACCATTGTCTTGGAGGGGCGCTGCGACCCGCCAACGGAGCCCCGCGCCCCCCTGAAATTCAAGGTGTTTAAAAAAAAATGATAATCTTTATTTTTTATATATATATATATATATATACAGTGAACAAAAATATAAATGCAACACTTTTGTTTTTGCTCCCATTTTTCATGAGATGAACTCAAAGATCTAAAACATTTTCTATATACACAAAATAACCATTTCTCTCAAATATTGTTCACAAATCTGAAAAAATCTGTGATAGTAAGCACTTCTCCTTTGCCGAGATNTGCCGGAGAGAGGGGAGTTTGTCCCAAAGCTTGCCGCTGTATTTACTCCCTCCATCTGACAGGAGGGAGCCTCGTTGAGCTGCGAGTGTCACTCCACGGAGTGTGTAGGGGTAGGGCGTAGGGCGTGGTTTGGGATTGGGCCGATAAAGATGCTGATTAGACAGCATGATTATTGCACAGGTGTGCCTTAGGCTGGCCACAATAAAAGGCCACTCTGAAACGTCTGGGGGGGTCCGAAAACCCTAGGGTTAAACCCTAACCCTAACATGTCACCCATCTCCTTCGCATAGAGTTGATCAGGTTGTTGATTGTGGCCTGTGGAATGTTGGTCCACTCCTCTTCAATGGCTGTGCGAAGTTGCTGGATATTGGCAGGAACTGGAACACGCTGTCGTATACGCCGATCCAGAGCATCCCAAACATGCTCAATGGGTGACATGTTAGGGTTAGGGTTAGGGTTTAACCCTAGAGTTTTCGGACCCCCCCAGACCCCCCCCAATAAAGCAAAACTGCACATTTCAGAGTGGCCTTTTATTGTGGCCAGCCTAAGGCACACCTGTGCAATAACCATGCTGTCTAATCAGCATCTTGATATGCCACACCTGTGAGTATAGAATATGCAGCAATATTAAAA